TAGGTCTTGTTTGACCTCTTTCCAAGTACATCTTTGCTTATGTCTATCCTTGCTTTTTATAAATTATTATTCTAGTAAACACTCTGGAAAGTTGTAAAAACTTTGGTTTCATCCAAACTTACCTGGATGTTTTCTCCTTTTTCCCCTTCAAATCAAGCTTCAAATTACAAGTTTCTTTAATTCTAAAGTATGATCGTGCAAATGTTTTCTTATGATTTAGGAATTCACTCAACAAACACTTTTACCAATTATGGTTATACAGAAATAAAACAGATTTTTTCAATGTCTTCACAGGGCATATATAGTAATGGGTTAGTTATAACATAACTATCATATTGGATAAACCTAAGGATCAAGTACTATTTAATGATAAGGTGGAGAAATGGTAAGTACCAGGGAATCACATGCAATTTTAGAGCAGGGGACATAGTCAATCAGAAGGTGATCTTTGAGTAAAGACCTGAAGGAAATACAGGACAAAAGGACTGCAGATATCTGGGTGAAATTCTTCTCAAACAGAAAATGACAGTGAGAACAAAGGCTCTGTGGTGGGTGGGTGCAGGTATGTGTCAAGAATATGAAAGCGCCTAAGTTTAGCAGTGAGGAATGAAACACAAGATGGTAGAAGATGAGACAGTAGACAGTTTATGATCCCTGATTCATTCTCACAGGCCTTAGAGGCCATTGTTAAGGACAATAGTGCTAGAGATTTCTTGGAAGAGAAATCCAGCTGCTAGAGATTTCTGGGAAAAGAACATGCTCTGATTCTCAGTATCCTGCCAGCTACTGTGATGAAGTATACTGAAGAGGTATAAGGGCAAGAGATGCAGTTAGAGGTTGATGTCTCATCCAGGTGAGAAACTGATGACAACTGTGGCCTGGGTGGTAGTCCTGTGAGAGGTAAGAAGTACCTGGGGCAGAAGCAGAGGCTCCATGTTGCACATGTTGATTGACAGCCTTTTCATCCAAGCAGGTATCGTGAATAGGCAAAGGGTGATAATTGTTTGGAGTTCTGGGGAGCATTGGGGAACGATACATAGAGTTTTATCGTTCTGACAAAATTCAACATTCAAAAGTAACTAGATATAAAAGAATAGAAAGGTAGTCTACATACTCAGTTTATTTTTAAATATATTTGTTGTATTCCCACAGGCCATGGTTGATTTTGCAATGACGTAAAACTCTCTGGAGTATTCCCACACAATATTCCACTTCATTATTGTTAACTTGGAGGCTTTTGAAAAAGTTATGAATGAGTAGAATTTGGTCCAAAATTTGCCTCTGATTTGTATGTGAACAACAGATATGCAAAATGTCAATACACAAGATAATGAAGGAGCTGCTAAATCCAGTTCAGAAAAAAATACTCTTATCTTCTTAGAAGATATTTATAAACTATGACTTAGAGCTTATCATAGGTACAATTCTGTTCATCTAAAGGGAACTTGCTCTAAATATTTTAATAAGCTTTTCTCTACTGTTAATGGTTTGTGTACCTTCTACTTGAATGAATGTAAAACACTCTGCAACCCATATCTACCTTAGTAAACCAGCCACTTTGAAGTACCAGTTTGTGACATTCTAGACTGTTGATCTCAGTTTAACTTAACTGCAAATTTTGCAACTTAGGCACAAAAGGAAAGGCTACATCAAGAGACCTAAACCCAAATTTCACATGACTTAGGATCAAAGTAAATACACACATAAAAACTCTACAAAATGGGAGGGTGAAGAAAATGAAAACATTTGCAAAGGGTATTTATTGAGAAATAGTAAAGATGTACATATTTTTACAAGCTTTTAATATTAATTTACATTTCTTTAAATTATGTAGGCCCCAATAATCTATACTTTACTAATACATAACAGAAACCCTTGACTTCGACTGTGAGATTTCCATAATGCTACCATAGTGGGGAGTCAAAATGCAACTTTGGCTCATGATGCTTAAGTTTGGTTTGAAAAGAAATACTAAATGCCATATTCACTGAGAATATAGGCTCGTCATAAATGTGCTGTACGAAGACAACTTCATAGTGGAACATGCGACTGACACTATTTTTAATCTCAGCTCACCAGAGACGAAGGAAAAAAAATTAGAGACGGTTATCTATATTTTGTGCATAAACTATATGATTCTAAGATATTATTTTTGCCTCTGAATTTGATCTATAGTTTTTTTTTAGGGATAGAGAGTCTTAATCACAATATTACAGCCAGGCTACCTATATTGTTATTGAAATTACATGGTCTTGATAGTTTTATCATTCAACACAAGGTAGTTATCTTTCCTAGTAAGAATTCAAAGTTTGTATATGGAGTAGACAAAAACCCAAACTGACTTACAATAAGGCACACCATTCTACATGGAAATAGAACATGGGGACTACCAAATGGCTAATTTGTTTGTTTGTTTGTTGATTTATTTTATGTTTTTTTTTTTTTTCTGACCAGAAAGAAAGCAGATTTACTTTCCCTAAGGTGGGGCAGGAGAGTTCTAGTTTGAGCATGCCCCAAATCACAGGCTGCCCTGAGGATGGCTTGTTGACCTGCACCACTGTTGTGCTGGAAAAACTGTTCTCCATTAATCCTGCATTTAGGTGTCATGGTGGCAGCCTCTTCTGAATATATAATTGGGAAAAAAGATGTGTGTGAGAAATAGCACTGCAGAGGCCATGCCCCTTCCAGAGGTTTCTTTCTGCACCTGCAGGTTTAGCAGCATAAGAAGCCTTGCTTGTTTGTTATGGAGCAGAATTAAATTTTTTATATAATGCCACAGTTGTATTATTTAAAGAAATGGGCTATACAGTAAAAATAATTTTGTTTTATTCACAGTAATGAATATTTAAGGTTTTAGTGTGCAAAATAAATACTGAGAATCGACGCAACTCTTCCATTTTTAAACTGCTATTTTCAAGCCAAAGCAGAAGATTTACCTTTATTTATTATTAAAAGTCTTTCAACCATTTTTTGCCTGCCATAGTACTTGGGGGTAGAAGTAGCCAAAACCCACAAAATATAAGAATAAGTTTTATGAAATCACAATCTTATGCACAATTGGGATCTGATGATCTTTCTGCCCATCGTAAATGTGGCCTTCACATTCACTAAAGAAATGCAGTCTGACTACCTGGAGATATAAACTACTTCCATAATGAATGTTGTGATCTGTGAGCAAAGCGTTGACCTTAACTTGATCTACAGAAGCCTCAGTTGATGAACTGTCATGAATCAGCCTCTGGTTAGGAGCACTGATGAACAGCTGGATTCCACAATCCATATTACACTGCAAGTGCAAACACCATTAGAATACTCGAGACCTCCAAGTCTTAAATTTCCACAAGGGAAACCATGTCACAGAAAATGATAGGAGAACCTGTATCGTGTTCCCAACATGGGCTACACACCAAGAAGAAGAAGGAAAAAAAAAAAAAAAAACAAACAAACAAACCCAAAACCATGCAAACACAACGATGACAGGTTCTCCCTGCAATGAATGCAACCTATTGTTCAGTAACAGTACAGGCGAAAACCAACATGCGCAAGTCTGCAATGGAGAGAGACTCAGTTGATGGGTTCAGTGAAATACCAGTGCATTTTCCTGTTGTAATTTGCTAATGCTGTCAAGGTCTGGCTCACTTGCTAATCTAATTTATGATGATATTCTAGGTAAAATATTCATAGACTCACTTCTTTCCTTGGGCCATCTGGGTCACCTGCCTTCCCTTACTGATGACATTTCATTTTTGCAATGGCATTGAGAATTAACATACTTAGCTATATTTTAAGCCATGTTCACTCAACTTAAATTTTAACCTATGTCCTTGGCATATACTAAAAAAGGTAAGGAGATAATTCCTAAAGATATGCATGAAAATATCTTCCTTGTAAGCAACTTACACACATCAAAAAGTCTCAAATTCAAAACTGTGCAAATTGTCATGAATATGGCTCTTAGTTTTCTTGGGTAGAACTGTAGAAAGGGTACTGAGAATTCAACAAACATGTTTCTTTCTAAGTAAATGTCCCACAGTCTCTCTCAAACCTGCTAATGATTGGGTGTACAAATAGTTGCCTCATACAATCACTGGAATTATTAAGAACCCAAATAAAACACAAGCTTTCTCTTATTATTCTTGTTGGTTTCTTATTGCCACATATACTTGTTTTCTTGTTGATGTAGTGTTAAAACATTGATAGCTTGAATTTTAAATTTGGTCATGTGAAGAATTATCACAAAGTTTTTTTTTTTTTTTTGGTTTTCATTATCTACAGAGATTTTTAACCAAAGTTACATTGTAACACACAAACGCTGTCTTGTCTTTAAGGCACAACACATCAGTATGAACATTCTGTTTGCCAAACTTAAAAAAAAAAAAAAAGACAATATTATATTCCCGTTTCCCCTCCCTCAACCCTCCCCAACAAATGAAAGAAAAATTGCATCCACTTTCAAAGTCAGCGGCTAATAAAGTCACAGTAAATTATTTTCATCAATAATTTACACAAATTACAGGTCTAGATAGGACTGTCCTTATACAGTCTTGAGTGCATTCCAATTCAGATTTTCTGGGCTAGGTAGGCTAAAGTCAGATTCAAACCTCAGGGCTGAGAAGAGATCCCATTTTGAGGAATGTTGGTGACCACCTTGTCAGACGGAGCATAAGTGTTGCTGCCCGGGAGGGTGAGGGGTCTTTGCTAAAGCTGTGAATTCCAGTTAGGACTCATTCTCTGTGCATAGCAATCTCCACAGATTTGTTTTAGAAACCATTAAAGTGTTGTAGATGTAAGACCATAGAGTTTCCTTTCTGTAGCACTAAAGTTCAATTCCATTCAGCAATCTGAATTCTTCATTCCGGAATTTGCATTCCAAATACGATTTCATCCTTTAAGACAATTTATATGTGTAGAGCCAGAGGCATTGAATCACACACATAAAAATTCAGTGTACTTGAAATGTAAAAAAAAAAAAAAAACAAAAAACAAAAAACAAACAAAACGGATCTCCAGCTAGAGAACACAGTTACAAATATTCTAATTCCAGTGCTTGATGTAGAGCCAAGAGGTCCGAGTGACTTGATATCCTCCAGAAGGGCATGTTGTGCTGTGTGGGCAAGAGAAGGAGGGATGGGAGAGAGAGAGAGGCAGGAGTGAAGAACAGAGAGATCATAGCCATTGCTTCAAGGAAGCAGCTGCACACAAGGATGTGCAGTCCACCCAGGTTTAAGGCAGGGAGTTTAATGGAGGGATGATCATATTTGAAGGTTTGGCAGAACCAAGGTGGCATTGTCAAAGTAACAGAGAAATAGATCTGAACTGGATTTAAAAAAATTTTTTTTTTTAGTTGTAGATGGACAAAATATCTTTTTTTCATTTGTTTATTTTTATGAGGTGCTGAGGATCTAACCCAGGGCCTCATGCATGCAAGGCAAGTGCTCTACCACTGAATTTTAATGATAAAAGCTGAATTTTAATGATAAAAGAAGAAAATATTGAAATTTTACATAGTTTAATATTTGCAAAGTAGCATTACCAACCTTAGCATCTGGAAAAACAAGCATCAAACTCCTACTTGGCTGATGGAAAGCAAGCTCTGATAGGGACCTCACTCCTAAAGGTCCATGTCTCAGCTAAAAAACTAAGATAACTACAAACTTCCTAAGCCCTTTTGTGTATTTGAGAGAAAAACAGTGAATTCCTTTCCATGTTTAAAAACAAAGAAAGTGCACTTCAGCAACTGACAAGACAAAAGTATTATAATGTAAATTTGGGCTGAGGACACATCCAGAATATAGATGTAAGGAATATATTCATGTACACAATGGAAACACATATATACATATATATGGAAAAGGTATTTTATAAATAAATTAAGCATCAGAATACTCATTACTGCTATATTAAATTCTTTTCTGCTCCATATTTTGGCCACTAACCACATGTGGCTATTAAGCACTTGGTTAGTCCAGTTTAAAACGCATACTAAATCGCAAAAACTTAGAATAAGGAAAAGAAGTTAAGAACATCAATCAGTGATTTTTATATAGATTGGGTATTTATGATAATGTCTGGCATATGTTGGGTTAATTAAAATGTATTATTAAGATTAACTCTAGCTGTCTCTTTTTACTTGTATTTAACAAGGTTTCTAGAAAATTTGAAAATTACATTTATTTCTCACATTATATACTTGTATAGGAGAGTGCAAGTACATTCCTGCACTTTGAGATTTCTTCTTAAATTTCTCAAAGTATGTTTTATGTCAAATCAGAGCACAGAAATTCACCTGGAAGTAACATTTTTTAAAATTCAGCTCAGATCTATTTGTAATAACAAAACAGTATTTAATATTTCTGCACATGCGATTACTGCTACATCCAAAGAAAAGCATGCATTTTGGGTACCAGAGAAACCAACCACCTGTGTTCCAAAGTAGAATTTTAAGCCTTCACCATCACCAAAACTGCACCTACATAAACAACCATTCGAAACAGCATTCTATTGGATATTCTTATCCATTTGGAGTCACACTTTTTCTCCTGAAATTTCAGGTATAAACCAGAGGTATAGAAATGATTTACCAAGACTAGCCTTCTTACCAGGCATCACCAAAGGTGACTTGATAAGTTTTAACTTTCAAAGACTTATCCTGTTTTAAGTTTGGAAAAAAATGAATTTTATTAGTTCTGACCTAGACAGACGTGGATTTCACACAGGCTAAAAATCATGTACACATTTGCTGGGGTGGCCCAACCACTGCCTGCTTTTTGTTGTGCTTAATTATGGTGCCAATATGAAAACTCAAAACAACGTTAACTCAGGACAAGGACAAACTCCAGGAGACATTTCAATCGTGTGTGACTGGGAGCATTTCAAGTAGTATTCAACAATGCAGGCTGTGTTACTTAAGGCTGCAACCCTGACCTCGTGCAGAATGTCCTTGGAGCTTGTGTGCTGTCTTGGGTCACTGACACTGCTAATTAAAACCTAGGTGCTCTACAGGACCAGAGTCTGCACCAGCTCCCTTCCTGGGACAGAAAAGCATGGGGGATTTCAAGTATGGCTGCCAACACTGTCCCCAAACTTTTCAAATCAAGTGGAAGTGCTTTCTCTTTCTCCATGTTCCTTGACTTGAACTGACAGGCAACAAGATCATTTCCTCTCCCTTTCTACTATAGCCATAAACTCTTATATAAAACTGTTTATGCTGTCTTTTTGGGAAAAAAAAAATTAGGAAACAGAACTCAGGTAAACCTTCCATCTAATAAGGATTTATTAGATGACATTTTAAATCACCTCAGGATAATAAGATTTTTCTATGTAAAACAAACATTAAAAGATGATATGTTGCTGCTTAAAAATACAAATTATTTTGTGTTTTCTGTAAATTCTATCACTTTTATCTTGGCTAGATAATGTTTTGCTATCATTCAGTGAAGGAAGCAATAGACCTCAGTGTTGTACTGACTGATAGAATGGTGGAGGGGGGCAATTCTGGTATCATTCCCCTTTTGATGTCTAACCAGCCACCTAATGTTTTTTTAATTGTCTTCATTTCTTCTTCAGAAATATGGGCAGATAAACAGCTAAATTAAATACTTAGGGCCTATGAGATCTTCTGAATATGTACAAAGCCAGCTGCTTGGCTTCAATCAGGTACCAATGGCTCATCCAAACGGATGAGTATCTTCTGGAAGATGTGAGACAAGTTGGCACAAAAGAACAGAATAACACATGCCATTTCCAATAGAGCTTATTAAAGTCTCTTACAACCATATTTTTTCTTCTGCTATTAAATCTACCCCCAGCATTTATCATCATGGGGCAACACCTTTTTCCAGGTGATCTCAAGGACTCTATGGCACAAAGCACTCTAATCATTTTTCTATGAGCTGATTAAACTTATTTATCTTGTTGAGTTTCATGAGCTTAAAAACTGTTTTCCCCCCATCTTCCTTAAGAACTATGGGGTCATATGTTTCTGTGTGCATGGTATGTGTTTGTGTACCGTATATACATATATGCACACACAAATCTGTAATTATTATTATACATTAATTTATATCCACACAAACAAATATAAATTTTCCTACATTTCCTATCAAATTTCAGGCAAAAAATGCTAGACTCCAAATGTTTTTTTTTTTTTGAAAGTAAGTATTGACTCTCTCATGCTCTTATCGCTTGCATCTATATATTTAAATCAATTGTCAAGCTGCCATTGGGCCAAACTACAGGAATGCAAACAAAAAGGCTTGCATTAGAAGTACCACACCAACATTGTTTGAGACAGGTTACCTTTTTTGCTGCCTGTTCTTCTTCTACACCATCCCCAATTACAACATATACTACTTTTCTGCCAAACCTTTGCATTATTCGTTCAAAGCAACTTTCTTTTCCTGGAAGATAAATAAGATAAAGTTCAGAGTGAAGTTACCTGGTTAGCGGCATGTTCCTCATCTCGGCCATCTCCAATCACAACATAAGTTATGTTAGTGCCAAATCTGGACACTATACGCTCAAAACAGCTTTCCTTGCCTGAAAAACAATGCACTGTTTATTCTTCCAGCCATTGCATTCAGTAACCTAAAGATGCATAAAGTATTGAGTTAATATCTCTTTGACATCACTCGAGCTAGCTTACAACCTCTGGGTTGATGAAATTAACACACGTGTGTGAATAACATAACTCTTAGGAGAGATTACTAAACAAATGCATTTTATGGTTCAAGTAAGTCAGTAGGGTTAAGTGTTTGACCTAGAGAAATTGTTAGTATGTTTTATTCCACTGAAAGTGTATTGAAACAACTTTAATTCCATATACATTGTCTAATCATTTCAAGTAAGCATAAACAGTCAACTGAATATATTATTATGGGAAATTTAAGTTTCACTTTGAAGATTCAATACTAAGATGTGGATTTACTCTGATACACCTCTCCTTTTTTCAAGTGGGTAGGATCTAATATGTTCATTAATTATACTAAGGATGCTGTCCAATTGGGCCACAACCTGATGACACTAGCATCCTCTGATTATACTTACAAAAATACATCATAGAATCCCTGCATGTTCTTTGCTTTTATGATACTGGCATTATTCTCTGAATTTTATTCCCACAATGTCCATATAGCCATGGCTATTTTCGCTTTTTTTCTTAATCTCATAGTGCAGAACTCCAAAAAATACTAGCTTCAAGGGAAAAATTAAAATGATTTTTTAGACTAAATATAAGGAATAATTTAGCCAATAAAAAGGAATCTGGTCCTTAACTAAAATGTGTACTCTGGTATAAAATTATTTAAGTTGTCAAAAAGCAAAATCATATTCTCTATATGAATCTTGCTAGCATACATACATACATTTATATGAAAAGAATGCCTGGGGTTGGGACCTGGGCTCTGAATTGTAGTGCTATGACAATGTAGCATTTGCTTTCTGAAAGCTTGGCTCACTTGAACTGTCCTCCGGAAACAGCTGCAACTGGGGGCTCCTTGTGCCAGCGCCAATATCAGCCCTCCCAAAGGCCCAGGGAAGGCTATTTTTGGTGGGGGATTTTAGGATTTTAAACTTCTCTTGTCAAGGTGCCAAAGCCCAAGTCTGTTGACCTTCAGGGCACATTACACAACCTATTTATTTTCCCAGGCATTTCCTTGACAGACAGTGGAATACATGTGCTGTTTTAACTCTTGTAAGATGGACATGATGAAGTTTTTGAACATACTTTAGAAGTCTGACTCTGCAGAATACCCTTGAAGTCAAAGATGGCTCTACCTATAGATATAAACTAAATAAACAAGTTGTAGTCCTTGGGCTGCTACTATGTATTTTTGGAAATGTGGATTCTGGCCAATGATGTATTAACAATATTCCAATTATGTTTTCTGATTCATGAAATCTTCATTTCTTTCTGGATTTTTTATTTTGGATCCTAGTTGAATCTATGTGAGACTCTCCTGTAATGACAAAATCACTTTTTTATTTTAGATCTGGATTCCTGCACATGCAAGGAGGCAATAGTATATCCCATACCAATTAGACTATTAAATATTATGGATGGCAAGATTATATATTATTTAGATAGCATGTTCTGTAATATTCTATGAAATATATGGAATGAATCAGAACTACTGAGATCCTGAATTGATTATCCAAAAATGCTCATAAAATTTACACGTGTGTAATGAGTTGTATGCAGGGTATCTTGTTATGAGAACTTTGTCCATTTTGCTTGATATTCTAAAATTAAAATTGATGGAAAGGAAACCATGCAAAGACATTCATTAAGAACTACCCCCCCCCCCCAAGCACAGATGTAAGCACATTCCATACAAAATTTAAAAGAATTTCCTTACCTATTTTAGTTGCACTGTAAATATTCTCAATGGGGAAAGCACCTCCTAAGCTATAGAGCAGAACCTTTGCAAGTGCTGGGATCAGCTGGGTCGTCGTTACCAAGACATTTACACAATTACTCCTGAAATAAGGAGGAAATATCTGTATATGTATCTGTTTTCTAACACTAAATAACTTCTAATAGCACAGATTTAAAATTGTTATTGTGGTCTCTAAATTCTATATTAAATGGCCCCTTTTGATAGTCAACAGTCCTTGCCTATTACCAGACATTCCCCAAATAATGACAGACTACTAAAAATCATGCACAACCATCACTAAACTGTGACACTTAAGTTCTATATAATATTTTGTTAGAAAAAAGATGCTATTCAAGGTCATATGTAGATAAATGCTACAGAATAAAATCATGGTGAGAAAACAAAACTAAGGATTTTCAACTTTAGAGATACAGTTTTGAAATGAAGTATCTATTTATACTATGGAATATTTGGAGTTATATCACCTTGTTTTTAACTACAAACACTGTATGAGTTTGTGTATGTGTTTATAAGACAGAATTTGTAAAAAAAAAAAAAAAGACAAATATAAGGAAGAATATGAAAAGTAAAGCTTCAATTATTAGTCACCAGCGATAACCACTTTCTCTGTTTTTTGAATTTATTTTCATTGTTTGTTTGTATATATATTTTCTCATTCAGATCATACTATATATGCAAATTGTTACTTTCTTTCCTTCCTTTCTTTCCTAAGCCTATCAACTTATTCCGTACCTCCCATTTTCCAACAAAACAAAATAGGTGGGTGTACCATATATTTTTTTCATTTTTTTAACTTTAAAAAAAAATTTTACCATATATTTTTGAAGTCCAGTTTTGATATTTAACATGGCTTTCAATTTTTCAATGTTATAAATAATGCTTATTAAATTTCTTCTACACCTTGTATTATTTCTTCCAGTTGATAGTCACAGAAGAATAAGGGTCAGAGGGTAAATTCAAAAAAAGTACATGTTTTTTTTTCTGTAATTCCTGACATTTTGTGAAGACTACAATAAGATACTATATGTAGATAGCTTAGAAAATTTCATAGTATTTGACTATTCAACATGTATTGATTTTTTCTCCATCACTTCTTTTTTATGCCTGTATTTTTTAAAATAACATATGAATATATTATACAAACTATATACATATATGTGTGTATATATTTTATATATATGTGTGTGTATATATATATAAAATATATATATATATACACACACATATACATATAAACCTATACGATAATGAAACAATCTGTTTTTTACTATCTAGAAGACATCTTTTAGAAATGATAAAAGCTTTTGACCTCCTCCTCAGAGAAATGCACATTCCACTACCCATGGCAGTTTCACGGGTTCAGGAGCCTCATGTCCCTGCCGCACTGAGTTTTGGTCTTCATATCAGCAGTTACAGAAAGTAACAGGCAGCAAGTCCCATGTTTAAGCAGCTTCAGTTGTTTGACACTTCTTCCTTACATTGTATTACTCTGTCCTGTCCTAGGATCCCACTCATTCCAACTCTTTATAGACACAGAGAATAGTCTAATTGATCTTCCACCTAACATCTTGAACTGCTAAAATAGACCGCTGTGTTCCACGTGTGACTGTTCTTCCCACAAGCTCTCTGGCTGCTCTAACAGTTGTTTTCATGTGATTCCTGCAGCTCTGCTCCCTGCTACCCCCAACTGCCACCACCATTTAGACTTTCTGTTCACAGTGCAGTTCTTGATCATTTCCAAGGGTCAGAAGCCATGTGCCAGGCTTGACACATACTTTCAAGTTCTCAATACTAGATTCTCATTTTACTTGGCCAAGATTTTTATGTATCTTCAATCAGTCCAAATAATATCTCTTTCTGTATATGTTCTGTTACCCACATATTTGCTAAGCTTGCTTTTTTTTTTACTTATTCATTAAAGTTGGAATTAAAACTATAGAATAGGAAAGTACAAAGATTAATCCCACCCACCAACGATCACTTTCCAGGTTCATATTACTTTACAAATTAACATTTATGGCAAATAGCTCTTCAACAACTTACAAAACTATTTAAATTTATTATCTACTTAACAAGTCAGTGTGTCACTGGTAAGTTCAAACAACACAGAGATTAGAATTTTTTCAAGAGCTTTCTCTTGCTGTTTCTAGTGTACTGAAGTTATGTATGTTATCTATTATGGCCTGAAAGTCCTAACACAAGAATTTTTTTTTTTTCATAAACAGTACTGTCTTGTTTTTGCCATTATCCCTTGTACTCTGTCATCAAAAGAGTGCTCCCATTTTTATTATAAGTCATGTGACCTTTCTGTATGGTTATCAGTGGTTCTGAGGAGACAAAAGGAAAGATATAATCTCCTGGTTATTCTGAGAAGAAAAAGCGGCTGTCCCTCAATGACACACACACACACACACACACACACACACACACACACACAGAAATCACTGGATTCAGTGAACTAATTCCTCTGAACTCCAAATTAGCCTAGAAATTAATTTTTTTAATCTATGTTGTACTATTAGACCTCAGTCTTCCATATAATTAAAATAGAAAGGGCACTGATCCCACTTACCTAGTACTAATAATTGATAAAGACTTTAGTGCATTTGTTAGCCAGGAATCTGTCAGGCCTTCAATTTCTGCCCTTAACTGCAGCCACGCATCCCTCTTGGCAGGGCCAAGGAGTCCTGCAACATCAAAAGCAAGACAGAGTCAGGAGCTGAATATATCCACAAGAATATAAGTTTGGTGTCCCTTCTCTCTGGCATTGATAATTTTTATTTCAATTATATCAAAATGGAAAGACAAACACACATATCAATATTGATCTTCATTTCAGAACTGATTATTCACTCACTCATTCATTCAATGAATATCTACTAGACAACATCTAGGGGTCAGGCACTAAATTAAACAATGGGGACAGAACAGTGCAAGAGTGGCCCCCAGTTTCTGCCATGTCTGGGCATCTGCCACCAGAAGATCTTCTCAGCCCCCAGGCATGAGTCCCACTCCAAGAGGCTGGAACCCATTGGGTCTGGAGGAGTGGTGGGCTCCAACAGCCTTGGGTGACAAACCTCAAATATTATGGTTGCCTAAAGAGGTTTAGCTTTTCAATAATCACAATCATTTCCACTGTGAAATAGAAATAGTGGCATTATCATACATAGCAATTAGAATTTTTCTAAAAGTAGTGCTAGCACTATTATATTTTGCTTTTTTTTTTTAAATTAAAACCTGTGTTTGCAATCCTGAAATATATAGCACTTTATAGATAATGGTGGAAAATTACATTGATGTTATGATAAGAAGTAAGCATGCTAATTTTTATTTTCAAAAGATGCAGCCTTTGTTTCATGATAAAACAAAATTAAATAAAATCCAGACAAAAGGGAGGTTTCTGATTTAAATTGTATTTCAGAATCCTGGGAGCTCAAATACAGGTGGACGATTTTTAAAGTAAAATTTAAACTTTCAAGCAAGTCTTACTTGTCCTCATTGTAATAAAGAAATACTGATGTATGACGGAAAATGGACTTTTATGTGGCTTCTTAAAACTTTCTAAGACAAAAGATTATTTATTTGCTGACTTATTGATTTTAAAATAATTTTAATAATACTCTAAAAGGGATATTATTCGACTCCCTTTAAGAAGTCAGAAAATAGTTATCATTCAGGTATGTCATTCTTTTCTTCATTTTTTATTTTCTTTTATTTATCATTTTAAAAAAGTTTTCATGTTTAAGTAACTTCTTTTTTTTTTTTTACTAGAGCTTCATAGTTTTACATAATAATTGGGTTCATTCCAGCAAACTCACACATGCATAGAATTCAATTTCAGATCCTCTCCCTTTTCTTTCCCTCTTTCCCCTTCTATTGTCCCCTCCAGAACTTAATCTTTATGCATAGGTAGAAAGAACCAATCAAATATAAATAAATAGACTAGCGAAAGGAAGTCTAGTAGAGGAAGGAGAATGGTATATTTACTTTAAAAATAAGCATATTACCTACAATTGATTTTAACTGGATATTCCATTTATTTGATTTTACAAAAGTGTCTTATGACCTGGGCACAGTGGCACACACCTGTAATCCCAGCAGCTCGGGAGGCTGAGGCAGGAGGATCACGAGTTCAAAGCCAGCTTCAGCAATTTAGTGAAGGCCTAAGTAACTCAGTGAGGCCCTGTCTCTAAATAAAATATATTACAAAAAGGGCTGGGGATGTGGCTCAGTGGTTAAGTGCCCTGGGTTCAACACACACACACACACACACACACACACACACACAATCTTGTGAAGAGCATTGGAGTGAATTGGGAAACAGGAATTACAATCTAGAACTCTGGCCAGGTAGGACTCTGCAGAGTCTTCAGGATCCAATTTCCTATTTGGAAATGAAGGTCTCCACTGGTTCTAACATTAAAATTATCTATGGTTCTACATTGTTTTGTTCTCCTATAGTTCTGAGTACTCACTGAGCATCTATAATGAGCTTTAGTACTGGACAGATACAACGTGAAACAAAACACAGCCCTGCCCTCAGGATGTGTATGCATGGATGTGAGGTGCATATTATACATGGAATTTCATTTACTACACTGTATTCTATGACAAATATGAATATACACAGGTGTAGTATGCATGCATATATGTAGTTGCATCATTCCCTTTCGGATTTTGGATTATGATCTTCAAATATAATTTCTTTTATAAGAGAAACAAATACCCTGTGAGAAGAATTTTACGTGATCTCATAACTAATACTAAGAATCTTGTTGACCTAAAATTAATCTCAATAATACAGAACACACAGGTTTATTACATACAGAAACATATGTGGATCTTAGTTTTGATATCACTCCAAGACATATGGATGAGGGGGTTGGGGATATAGCTTAGTTGGTAGAGTGCTTGCTTCACATGCACAAGGCCCTGGGTTCAATCCCCAGCACCGCCGAAAATAACAACAACAACAAAACCACATATGGATGAATATAATATGGTTTAGATATTAACTACAGAGTATTTAAACTTTAAAAAATCATGATAATCTAAGTTAACACTATACCGTATGTGGGAAAGAGATACTATCAGATAATGTGATTTTTTTCAAAAGGAAAAAATAGACTTGTTGAACGTTTTTGAAATGATACGACTCTTTATATGTGTTCTAACTTAAATACCCTGCTGCAAATCTTGTCCGAACATTTGAGTACACAGTTTCACAAAGAATGCCCAATTCTTTGACAGAGGAGTTTTATTCTGTAGTTAAAATTTCCCCAACAATTCTAAGAAACTAAAAATTCAGGATGAAAGTTATTCAACATGAACTTCTGCAGCTTTATTTTACAGTATCACCATCTCTACCACGGACTGCGGCTGAATCTACCTATTCCCATGGTGCCCTTATTAGATGAAATAAGACACACATACCTCCAACATTGTTCTTGTAGGTGTTATATAATTCTTTCACTCTTCTGTAACGAAAAGCCAACTTCCTCATCCAGTCCACTCCTCCTCTCACACCTGTTGGCAAACAAAGGTTTGCACTACTTGCAGCTGCATGGAAGCCATCAGTTGCAAAACTGTAGGTACTGCAACACCCAAAATACATTAAAAAGAAATAAAAGAAATAATTACATGTGCAAAACTCCATAGCCGAATTTCTGTAGGAAACAGCATACTGAAAGGCACGGCTTACCTTAAGTCTTGTCCATTATCATCAGAGGAAACATCATCTATATGAACTTGATCACATTCCTGTTAAAAACATGAGAGATGTTACTTGTTTTCACATGACACTTGTTACCATGTGACACAAAGGTGTCCATTGTTCCTTGTGATTAGCCTATGGCCAGAAGATGGCAGCATTTGCCCATCCATCCCACCAATCCTATGCTTATTCTTTTTTTGCTGGGAAATGGTACCTTTTCTACTCTGTAAAATTGAAATCCAGAGGCATAACATAAGAAAGGTTCTGAAAACATGTAGCATGAGGGGTTTTGTAGACCAATTTACAAAATAAGTTTAATCTTCAAATCATCGATTAGGAATGAAGATTTACCACCCTACTTGTGCTATAAACTCCAAGGAAAATATAATTCAGGTTAGTATATCCATATAATATTGACCTGACTTGAAGTTAGCATATACTCAGAAAAAGTAGGTGTTGGGATTTGATTCCTTTTTGCTAAGAGTCTTGTAATATCTTCAAATAATCAGAAAAGGTACAGTGAAATATTATATGATCTGAAGGTGAAATGTGGATAAGGAATTTAAAATACCAAACTCTGAGAAGAATAAATCAAGAATTAATAATAATATATTATACCTTATAATAAGTAAATAACCCCAGACTAGACAGGGATTAGCCTTTGGGGCCTCTTTTATCTCCCCCAAATTAATTAATCATATTCACAGATTCTGACTCTATGCATGATATTTTACCATTCAAAATCTCTCCCTCCCTCTCTCTCTCTCTCTCTCTTTAAATCATTACATTTCAAAATAGGCCATACTAAGCAAAGGCTTTACAGGTGTTATTCAAATTCATTATGGGATAGGAAGTATCCGTAGTCAAATACTTAATGTCTAGTCTCTAGCTGTCTACATAGCACATATCATCCTGTTTCGTTGACTTGGGCTTCTTTTAAACCATAAAACTCAGTGACAGGGCCTAACAATATAATTTTGTTATGGAAATTGAAATTCTATACACTAATTTTAAAAGTTTAAAAGGTTTACATAAATTATGGGGTTATATTATTTTAAATTAATTTTTTTGGTCCTGGAGATTGAACCCAGGTACACTCTACCACGGAGTTATATCCATGCCCATCACCCCATTCCCCCCCCCCCTTTTTTTTTTTCCAGTTTGGAGACAGGATCTCCATGAATTGTCCAGACTGCATCAGCCTACCCACTATCTGGGATTGCAAGCATGTGCTGTGCCACTGTGCCTGGTTAATAATTTTCTTAAAAATCTCTCTCTACATTCATAGGGAAGGGCTCAGAAAACCTCCCTGAGCATGGTCGTTCACTCAACAGAATATAATCTCATTTCAGGCATAATCAGGAAGAAAATAATCACTTAAGAATTTTTCTTATAACAAATGGCCAAAGTCTAGACAAATGATAATTCTTATTGGATTTCTGCAATCATTTAAATTTTCTCATACAAAGTACGATGATATAAAAGAGTAATATTCTAAATGATGAAGACCTTAAGGAGACAATTACATCAAGAGTGGAGGGAAGGTGGTGGGAGGGCAGAGGCTGCCTAAGCTGTGTTCAAACAGACATTTTAACAGGCATTTTGAAACACCCTATTTCAAAAGGATGCAGATCAAACAATAACTAAGCAGCATTATGCTTCCAGAAAAGTCTAGGTCAGAGTCTAGGTAGAGATCCTACCAGTTATCATGAAAGATGGAAATAAAGTTCTCCCAGAACATGGGCACACCGGAGTACTTCTAGAAGATGGAATTATTTCTTATTCAGGGATGGCGATGTTCTTAGCAAGTATGTTGATTAAGCTGAACCACTATCAAAACGGTATCATATAATGTTGCCCACTCCACTAGGTTCTGAAATTTTTCTTTGTGTAAATGATTTCCCTGTCTTTCTTTTGTAATAAACTAATAATATCCCCGGGGGAAACGTATCTTTGTGAATTACTCTGGGTAATCAGAAGTTATTTTTATATTTAATACTCTCTCATCTAATTTTTAGAGAAATTCCTCTGACATTTCGGGGATTAACTCACATGATTAATATGTACATAGGTTTCCCAAAAAATTATTATTTACTCCTGAGGACAACAGTATATCAAACTTATTGGACCACGTACTCTATATTTGAAGTTATGTCTGAGGTTTTTCCAAATCTAACTTCTTTTTAAATTTATGCCTAGTTAACTGTGCCTGTTGACTCTGGACTGTTGCCTGAGGATTACAGTCCAGTGAAAGAAACTTGAACTTCAATTACATTTTTAGGAAAAACTAAATAACCGTTCTTCAATTAGTTTTCATTCTGAAGAACTATGTAAGAATCCTTTTGGCCCAAACCTGACATATCTAAAAACGTTATCATGATTTAACAAATGTTAGTGGAAGACCTTAACCTTTTGATATAACTCTAGTGTTAATCTTAAATGTTTTGTCTTCTAAGGTAACCACAGAGTTGTCACTACTATTTTCCAGTTAAAATCCACAGCCATTTTCTCTCACTTTTGTGATCCCAACCTCTCTGGAGCATTCTTTTTGAGAAATTATTCTAACCTGAAGAACATTTTATTGAAACAGAATTCTCTTAGGGGGAGTGCCGTAAGCTTTGCCTTCTGTGCAGTTAGGCAGGATGTAGCAAACTATTACTAGGATTTAAATTGGTATCTTTTAAGGAATTATGAGACAAGCAGCTGCCACTACATATGTTGCTGTACATGTTGAAGAATTTGAGTCTCAAATTAGACTTTTAGGTTAAAAAAAAGGCCCCAAAAGATTAAATATACAAGAATAAAAAGCATAATAAGCTAAAGGTGGAGTTACTCTCTTGTAGAAGCAGACATAATTTAATTCCAGTTAAGGAACCTTTGCAATCTTTGGTTTTAAGATGTTTATGGAAATGAAAAAATGTGCGAAAATAATGTTGCTTTCAAAGTCAGAAGCAGACAGATTGTGGGTATGTTAACTGCACTGAAAAACCCTGAAAGCTATTGTTTAGATTTCATTTCATTAGTGCTTGTTTATTTCACTTAAGTTAGTAATAAATTTTTAAGTATCCTTGGTCACTTCATCTGGATGTGCAAGAATGTATGTGCACATACATAATGAGAGTACAATCATTTTACATACACAAGTATTTTATTGATCAAGCATAATATTGTTAAATATTATGTTGTTTCTGGGTTTAAGTCAAATAGAATTTTTCTCACATCCTAAAACACAACCAGAAAGAGCAGAGTGAATAACAATATTTTCTCGGTTACTATTTCTACCGGAGATTCTGCCAGACAGTAAAAGAATACATTTTAACATAGTGTATTATCTTGAATAAGAAAGTCTTAAAACACCTTAGAGGATCACTACATGTTTTTAATGTACCAATATTCATTTCAAAATTGCTAAAGATATTTACAAATTCATCGTGTGCTACTTTTACCTTCTCACTTCAGTGTCTGGCTAAAAGTTGAACAGTATATTTATTTCATCTGGTTTCTAATGTGCCAATAAAAAAGCTAAAACTTCATTTATTCTAGTAAAATAAATTAAGCAAATTAGATAAATGTTATAAAACTTGAATAAAACCACATATAATTTCTTACTTCTTTTTACAGTCCTGAAAGAGCTAACCATCTTAGAATCTTCTTTAGAATGAAAGTCCTCCATATTAACAACAGGAAAACTGATCTAAAAAGTTCACTGTATATAAAAAATTCAAGTTCCAAAAAGGTCCAAATGTGTTTCTCATTAACAGATACATGTAAAAGCATTCTGTATACTGGACAGTAATAAAGTAGCTGGATTAATTTAAATCGGATTTTAGGGAGGTAATTATTTCTTATTACCTAAAATTGGAAAACATGCGTACAAATATTGATCTTTCATATTGCCCATTAAAGAAAAAATAAAGCCTCTTTAAACAGTCATTTTATTATCCAATAAAACTACTGACTCACTGCAGAGAGAGCAACAGTGAATGGCCATGGTATAGTAGATTTTCAGCAGATACATTTGTGGGTTACATTGAGTCACTCGCTTTTAGTCTCACGTCTCAAATGTAACTAAATCTGGATTTAAGACCTTGTCAATGTTAAAAACTTATTTAAGTCATTTACTGAAACTTGGCTTTTCTTTCTCACAAACTTTTTAAAATTTCAGCACAGTAGGGGAGCAGAAATATATTCTCTGTTGCCAAATCTGCTTTAAAATCCCAGTTCAACTACTTAGCTAGCAGGTAATCCTGGACATGACTTTTATGCTGTGGATCCTACAGTTTTTTCCCTGCAAAAGCAGTGCAATACAGGTATTTATTTCAAAATCTTGTCAATTAATAAATGGAAGGTCTAAAATTAGGTGAAATTTAGTAATAATAATCTTCTCCTTTCATAATGTGATTATAGATAAAGACTTTCATTGTGACACCATGAGATAAAAAGTAAATTTTAACAGGTCATTTAAAAAAAAAGAAAGAGAAATCACCATTTTAGCATAATTGTAACTGCCAAAGTAGCACTCTTGCCCACTGCCAAACTATTTAATTATTTCAGTTTCTATTGTCTGGATGCCTAATATCCCAGCTTGTTAGCTGAGATTATAGTTAGATACTCAGAGGCTGGTTCTCTTTGCCCTTTCATTTTGTTGCTTTTATTGTCTCTTCTTTGTTATTTAGACATCATGTTGCAGGCTGAGGTTGGGAAATGAAAAAATTAATTTGAGAAAAGGAAAAAAAATGTATTTAAACTCATCAGATGTAATATGTAGGTAAGTCCAGCACTGTTTTTATCTAGAACAGGAGAAAATGCAGAATGATACTGTTGTCCAAAAATAGGGGGGTTCAAATTATCTGCAAAATTCAGTGATCCATGCTATTAGCATTAAGAGTGTCTGTGAACATTGTCTAGTGATGATTGCAAATAGTGTCCTCAGTGGTCACCTGAAAGGCTAGGGATGCTGAGTCTAAAGGTGCCAAAGGGTTGTGGTTAAAATATTAAAAGAACTAGGAGCACCATGTGAGGTGTTTGGTACAGGCCAGCAAAACAGAGCATCTCCTGTTCGTGGAAACTTTTTTCTTAATGTGCTAGTACATATGTGTCATTCATGAACACAATTTTGCTTAAAGATCATATGCTTGTACATACAATTTTTTGTCTTGACAAGAACTTTATAGTTCTCTTAAGCTATGTATTTATCTTTCAGTTTTCTGCACATATAAAACCATCTAAGAGTTTTAGTGTTGGAAACAATCATTCTTACCTTTTAAAATTCTTACCTCTAAATCATTAAAAAACAAATGTGTATCAGCAAGATTAAAGATCATTTCCTCCATTCGGAGTCCAAGGGTTACAGCCATGGGAGGGTCCTGAAAAGAAAATGCACACATAATGAGGTAAAATTTCAGAAAGCACAATTTTCATTAAAACAATTTTAAGTGCATACTAGTGTGTGAGTGTGTGAGTGTGTGAGTGTGTGTGTGTGTGTGCGCGCGCGCGCAGGGGGGAGGGTGTGAACTATGGACTTTTACTGAAGATTCCTAGCATGGAGGGGAGAATAGAGGTGGTGATAGTATAAAAATATTTAATCAGATAGTGAAGCCAGCAGTCAATACAGATAGGTAAATTGAGTCAAGTCACATTGAGTCAGGCCAATTTTGAGTGAGTCCCCAGAAGTTGGAGACTGTCCCCTGAGGAATTGAAATGTTAATTCCTTTAGAGTTCTTCCTAAACCCGCCCCAGCTCCAACCTGTTGCTAAGGTAACTTGTCTCAGGAATTGCCCCTCCCTACAGGGAGCTACATCCTGCCCTTCCCCCTTCAGCCCACCTGTTTCCCACCTTTTGGCCCTCCACGGAGCATTCCTGGGCCTAGTCACTCTATGCAGAAAGGAGAAAGATAAGGGGAAGAGGGGAGGAGAACAAAGGAAGCCTAGGACAGATAAAAAGGGCAGACCACCTCACTTCTAGGGATACCAGGATACCAGTTATGGCCTCCTTCTTTCTCCTGGGAGAAAGGGAGAAGTCTATGTTACCCCTTTTTAAACAAACCCTGCCTTAATGATGCTTGCCTTGGTGTGCTTCTCTAATGTTCAAACTCTAATGTTCAGACTGACATGTGGGGTCACTGATAATGGGCAGTATCAATAGAAGGAAAAAGTTTCATGTTCAATCAAGCAGAGAGATGAAAAATTGTGTTGTACATATGCAATAGGAGTTGTAATGCATTCTCCTATCATATACAACAAATTAGAATTTAAAAAATTAAAAAATTAATATTTATTGTAGATTTCAATACAGCCAGAAGGAAGGATTTTGAATGTTTCCAACACAAAGAAATGATAAATGTTTGTGAGATAACGGATAAAGTACTTACTGATTTGATCATTTCATGTTGTATACAGATATTGATATACACACTGTAAAATGTGTATGATTATTTTGTGTTCTTTTTGGGATATTACATATATGTATATGCAGATTTTCAATTATCCAAAAAGATGGATCTTTCCAAAGGGTTAAGAGACACCATATGTACAGATACATCTGTGAAGTTAAATACATGTAGAGCTGACTCAGGACACATTTTCACCTAAAGCTCTTCTTGAGAGGAGGCGGAAGAAAGCCACAGCCAGTTCATGACACAATTTACATAATCTCCATGGAAAGTCTTTTGGAGAAAGGTATTTGGGTGACTTGTTAAGGAATGGGACAAACTTGTAACAGAGAGGAAAAGGCTTCCCTTTGAGAATGGTGGCAATCAGAACTAGGAGACAGAACTAGGAGACTGAGAGGTTGAGGGGATGTTTGTAGGGTTTGAGCAGAGATTATGCTAAAATGGGAAGGGAGGAAGAAGTGGCAGAGGATGGTACAACCAGGACTTAAGCAGGAGTTGCATTTTGATCAACAGGATGAGTCTCCATCTGAATATGCGTGCAGTTTGGTTTAACTTGCATCTCACTAGGGCTGAAGAGAGAAGGTGGAGGACAACTAAAAGAGCATTCATTCCCTAAAGTAATACAGGTAGAAAACATATGCTTTGGGGAGCTTATGAAAATTAAAGAGATTAGTGAGGAGTCAAAAGGACTCAAGATTTTGGTTGCAGCAATCAAGGTCTTAAACAGAGACAAGGGGTTGAAAATTAGGACCAGGATTGATCCTTTACCAAGTTTCACTGCAGCTGAACACGTGGCACCAAAGGATGTAAGACTTTGGGAAGTAAGGAGAGTTTAGAGATTGGATAGGAAAGTAATTCACGCACAAACACTGTGATAAATTGACCACAGTTGGAACCATTGCTGAAGGAGAAGAGCTATAGGTGTGACTCTGGAGATACAGAAAGGAGACAATCTGGACGGGATGAATCCTTAGAATTTGAGACCAGATGGGGTGTGCACATGCAGAAGGATCTGGTTTTGAAGAAAGCTGACAAGCCTAGAAGGATACTATTGATTTTGGCTGAGAAATTATTTTGGAAGACCTCAGAGGGTGATTTGGGTTGAGTGGCTGGGCCAGGAGCCAGACTGTGGGAATTTGAGAGAAAAGAACTGAAATTGTGTTTTCAACATTCTAATAAATAGCATTTCAAGAAATGTATTTAAACAAGGAGAAATGTAATCGTAACTTTAATTTATGATAAAAAACATGCAACCCAGGCCAGGTCAAAGGATATTCATCTATACTCCAAACTAATTCTATTTGCAAGCAAAAGCAGCTCCTCATTCCATATCTGCATAGAATCAATTTTGTCCCTGTATTTCCTTCAATAATGCTACAGTGTAAACATATTTGAAGGGTCATCTTTGTATCTATAGCCATTGAAACCTAGATAATAGGAATTGCATGCTAAGAAATAGGAATTGAGAGCACAGGGATTATTGAGGTGTGTTCAGGAAAGCTAAGAATTGATATGGGAGTCCGTGGAAGGTGCAACAGTATTGATTTCAACATCTTTTCTAACATGTTGACATCTCCTTGGTGGAGATTTTTGTGGATTTTTTTTAATAGCAAAAGATTTTAGTTTCTCAAAAAAAGATGTGGATTGCTCATATGATTGATGGAACCCTGATACTGTATCCCCCAGCCAGCTTGACACCACTGCCCCAAGTTTATCTGCCCTGCCTCTGTGACAAGGCCATTTAGGGCAACACACCTAAAGATCAACAAAATTCTGTTCTATCAAAGATATTCATTCAAAACTAAAAATGAAAACATTAACTAAATCTCTTTTTGTCAAAAGGAGTTTCAGAACTCAGAAGGACCTAGGTGTTTCCTGCAAGTACAAAATTTTTATCTTCTTGTGGTTCAGGTTTTATTATTGTTTTTAATGAAAGAAGCTCTCAATTTTTTTTTAATATACAATTTGTCTCCCCCTAACCCTTGTTAAAAAGGGTGTTGGTGTCTCTCTTTTTTTGGGAAGAGGTGGGCACTGGACAGGAGGAGGCCATAGAAAACTTGTAAATATTCTGCCTAGTCATGGACCCATGAACAAAATGTCTACAGAAATATCAAAAAATCATCTAATGTAATTATAGCATGAAAACATATAATTCCATTAGTGACGCTCTCTGCTTTTGAGGAATGTTCACTGATGCAAGACAACAAAACCGAGCTCCACACTCCTCTGCTGTTTCTGATGATTTCTGCCCTAGAGATATATATTTCAGATGGGAGTTCAAAAATATCTTATTTTAAAAGGTTTTCCTTCTGGAGGCCAGGTTGGTGAGATTCATATCCTACGAATTGCCATTCTTTCCTTCTTAAGTTTTCAATAAAATGACTGAATTTCTTACATTCATTCCTCAAATTCTTAGCATTTACAGATCGGATTTATAGGGATGGGAGAAAATATGCAGTTCCTCTTTGATTGTTACTTCCATTGAGTCCATGATTCTGAACTATACAACTTTCTATGCTACCAAGCAATGATAGGAAAATCCATGAAGAATGCATTTTGTGCATCTGATAAGCATGCAAACGAATATAGTTTTTTAAAAGAATGCAAGAATCCTCTAACAAGCAAGGACGGCATATGGCACGATGAAAACTGTATTTGAGCACTCCATTGGAATGCAATCCCATGGCTCTGGGAGGGCTGTTCATTTGTTTTTCAGGCTATGGTGATTCCACATCACACACCCTATCACAGCCAGCACTTACTAAGCATTTTGGCAAAATACCATGTGTTAACTAGGTAAGTTTAAGTCTGAGGTCTGTCAGAGAGTGAACTAACTATTTTACTAAAGCTTACTGAGAGCAAGCACGTTAAAGGGAAGTATTTCTTCAGCCACACCAAAGGCTTGATACAAATGAGCCAAGGACACTCATGCCACGCCAGGAAAACCCTACCAGTCAGAGCTGGTGGGGATCTTATTTCTAGAGAATGCCTGGTGAGGGTTTACTTTCAAATATCTCATTTTGCTCTCTCTCTCTCTTTTTTTTTTTTTCCTAGCTTTCTAAGTCACTGGGACAGTTAATTCTAAGTCAGCAGATTATAGTGCTGCATTTTTTTTCTTTTCTTTTTTTTTTTTTTTTTTGCTGAAGGACTCACAGACCTATGAATTTAAGGAGGACAACTGCATCTGGTGGGTGTAGCCTTATGTCCTGTAATGTTGGGCACCCTCTGTCTTGCCAAAGCTCTGTGGAGGACTTGCCAGTGCCTGCAGTCTTGCTGTTTTATCAGGCATCTGAGAGTGAAACATACTTCTGGATGTAACCCAAGTTTTAAACAGAGATGTTTGCTCATTTTCATTAGATGTTTATAGAATTACGGGCACCTTATGAATCAAGAGCTGCTGCTTTTTTTTTTTTTTTTCTGTTTAAGTGGAGTGAGTGTTGAGTTTAGGATCTCAAATGAAGTGATAGCGAAAACTTGGACAGAGGAAAAAAGTAGAATAAAATGGCACTAGCAGGGGTTTGCAGAAGCTCTGATGCGTACAAACATACGTAATAGTTCCAAAGGTTCAAAGTGTCTACACCAGAGTTTAACACAGGGCAAACTGAATTCCTGCCAATTTATCCTGTGTACTGCTTTATCAAAATATTGAAACTGTTCCCAAGACATTTAATTGAATTCGGAGAGAGAGAAAAAGAGAAAGAGAGGGAAAGAAAGAGGAAGGTGAAAAATTTGAATAGCTGTGGCCTTTTAAATGTGTGATTCTGAGCCAGATGTCACCAGTGTAGAACCAAGCAAGGATCAAGTACGGAACTTCTCTAAATCAAAATGCTAACGCCTATTAGCCATGTTAGCGCAGAGCATAAATTGGAGCCAGACTGTCTGTCTATGGGCCTCTGCCCTGCGTTGGGCCATCAGCTGGAATTCCTCCTCTAGGGACACTCTGTAAAAATATCTCAGGAGAGGCAGCAATTATGT